TTTTCCATCAGTCGCTTCAGGAAAGGCTTGTGCCGCATTAGAAAAGGTTTCTGCATCTTCTGATCTGCTTTGGTCCAGATGATTGTCAACAGCCTGTCACTGAGGATGCCTTCCGTCTCCAGCCTCCTCCACATCTCGGCAACCTCCCCATCCGTGTTCCTGTCCTGTTGGTACTCCGGGACGGTGATGATGGTCTTGAAGACGTCAATCATCACCTGGGGTCGAAGGGCCACGTGATCACGGAGAACGGGTTCGTTGATGAAGATGATGTCACCAAGGTCATGTAGAAAGGTCAAAATGTCGGCAACATGGCTGTCGTCCGTGATGCCCACGTCATCACTCCGGGGGGCCAGATCGACGACATCTTGGAAACGGCAGAATGGGTCGTCCTCTCTCCTCTTGTCCATCAGTTTGGACTTCAGATGAAGCCATGTCATCGGCACCTCCTGGCCCATGAACCACAGACCCTTCGCCACCTCACGGAGGTATTCTCGGAGCTCGTCAATGTCGCTGTTGTCCTCGTTTGAAGTTGTCGATGACAAATATCTTTGGTAAGACGTGTTTACCGGCTGCCTTACCGCAGATGTGATCAAGTATGTCTTTCTTGTACTCCTCAATGTCCGACTGAAATTCAGAGCACAAATACTTTACGGACCTTAAAGTACTGTTTATAAATCTGAGAAAACAAGCCATGGCTAAACCTTGCAGCAAAGGATATTAACTACACGTTTTAGGGCAAAGACAAGCTAAGACCATTCGTAGACAAGAAACCATTCCCCATACCTCGCTGACCCTGTCCTTGTGCGTGAGGACCAAAACGACACGCGGCTCTCCTGTCTGCTCCCGCCCGTGCACCAGGGTGTGTGTGCGGACTGAGTTCAGCCAATGGTCCAAGTAGTCTGGACAAGTAGAGACGTCTTATCATAATCGTGTACGAAATTATTTTTGAGTAATCATTTCAGCTTTACAACGTTACATATCTTGGGATTTAACTTTTTCTTTGATTCCCATGTTCAATCTTTGATGTCGACCACCTAGGTTCACAGTTAAAGAAGTATTATATAGTGGTACGTACCTCTCCCGGTTACGAGATTGTCCGCTGCCGCCTTGTAGTCCAGATCAGGAACTGGGTCGGACAGCTTCTGCAGCAGTGACATGACCAGGATGTAGATCCCGCGGTACGTGAAGAAGCACTGGTGCGAGCCGTAGTACGTGGCCTGGCCGCCGAAGTCCCAGAGGGAGAGACGCGGGTGTTCAGCTGTCCCAAGCTGCTCCTCGGTCACGCCACTTTGGAGTCGCTCTTTGGCTTTTGTTATGACATCATCCGGTATGTCTTGTGTTTGCTGCCGAACCGTCGCGTCACTCTGAAGTCGCTGTTGAGCTTTTGTTTTGACATCATCCGGCATGTCTTGTGTTTGTCGTGACGTAGTCGTAACCACACGTTCTTCTTTCCCTGCAACGGAAGATTTGTCTTGTTCAATCGATCTTACAATTTTAATGCCATTCATTCTTTTGCATCTTTTCTCTAGAGGCCAATAACTACACTTGCAAATAGTTTTAACTTGGGATCAAAGACATACATTTACAACAAAGCACGGTCTAGCGTAACGCAACAAGTTCCTTTTTTCTAAATCTTCTATAATGTGCATTTCTTTCTTGTGAAAATATCTATTTCTCACCTTCTTTTTCATCTTCTTCCTCCAGTTTTGGTGTCTGTTGACTTTGTGTCGGCGTCTCGTTCTTCGCTTGTTTCTCCTGGTGCGCCCGTTTCCTTGTCATTTTCTGTGCTTTTTCTGCATCTTATATAAAGAGAAAGTCAGTGAGATATCACTGTCCCTTCGTCTCTTTGTGTGTGTTTCTAAAGACAGAACTTTAGCAATACGTAGATGATGACGCGTGAAAAAGATATATAGGTCCCAATTCTCTTGTTTTGTGCATACATTTTAGATTAATGAATAAACCTTATGCTTTTAATTTTTTTTTAACATAAGTTTTTAACCGTCCTTGTCCTGGCTGTGTGTTAACATTTTTGCCCTGTACATCTGTATATTATGTCTATTGATATACACATTTATATCATACCCGGGCCGCGATAACGTTCGATAACGGGTTCCGGACCGGGCACCTTACGGTACGGCCCGGGCTTCCCTGGCTTCCATAGAACGATTCGAACGCGTTTTGCCCTAACCGCGTGTGCCGCTTTCGAAAATTCGAATACAGAATCCGAACGTTGGAACTGATGTTGTTGCATTTGAGGGTTCAGGGGCACGAACCTTTGGCTCATGTTGCATTAAAAAGCGGGTTTTCTTGGGTGGGTATGACATAAATGAGATACAACACTGTGTATTCCGCATCACCCTCGGTCCCGGCCCTCTCGCGCGGTCGGGCCGTTACCTCGGGCGATACGGAATACCCCGTGTTGTATTCTATATGTACATATTGATATATGTAAAAGTGATATTTGATACCTGTAGACTTTGTCCTGACTGCTCCTTGGGCTCCTGACGATGTCCGGGTGCGTGGTTTGTCCCGTTCTTGTTGTTCTGCCAGGCGTTCTGCCATGGTTTCCTTGAATTCGTCTGGCTCCTCTGTAAGCAATACATGATGTCATCTTCATCTTAAGTACTACTGAGCCCAATTTACATTGGATTACTAGCAGCTGCACATGTGTTAATTACAAAACAAGTGATGTATACCGTATGATTCGTTGTTACAGCTGAGACCCGTTTGGCGATTTTATCTTCAACAAAAATAGGTATTCATGCTGTTGTTGTGTCATACGAGTACTGTTTTTAGATGAAAATTACGTATTATACGTACTTATAGCCCCAAACTCTCTAAATATGAAGATCTATAATACAATGCCAGGTGATACTAGTAGATATTAACATGTTTGTCGGACCTTTTGCCTTCTGCCAGTTCTTGGTCATCACGCTGGGTGAAATCTCGATGCCGTCTGTTATCGGTTCATTCTCCACAGCCTTCTCTCCCGTCAGCCTCCTGACGACACACGTCTTCCCGGATCTGAACTGACCAACCACGAGCCCGCGCACGCTGTGCACCGGTCGCGCCCCCTGGCGGCAGGCCTGGGAGTACAGCTGCTGCATTCCAGGACCCCGCAGCTGTATTTCAAGTGGAACACTGCTGTCTCCTGGATGAGAAGATTTATACATTTTATCAGACATTTATAATATCACTTATGTCTCATGCACATACGTAAAGCCGACGTCGGATTAGATAGATAGAATGATCTACTGAGTCAAGTATTTGTATTTCACAGCTAAAATACTTATGTGTTATACCTTCTTTTGCCGACATCCCTAAGTCTTCACGATGTCCCGTGATGTTCTCAGCCCCCATGTCGTCTGTGGGGAGGCTCCGCTTACTGCCTCCTTTACTCCTACGATAGTTGCCGATGAAGTTCTGAAAAATCATTACATATGACATTACTGTTACCCAAGATGATACAAGGAAACGATGAATCGCAATTAATTTGAGGCACAGAGTACGATTTCATAAGGTTAACCAGGATGATACAATGAAACGATGAATCACAATTTAATTTGAGGCACAGGGTACGATTTCGTAAGGCCAACACTCAAATACAGAACACAGGCCAACACAGAAAATAACGCACGAGTTACACCAACAATTCCAGCTAAAGCTCCTCATCTCTAGCAGCACAAAACGTTTAGCCTTTAGTAAGATACAACTGATTAAGATCAAGAGATCAACCAGTCATCACAAAGACACACCTTCACTTGGTCTACAGTTTTTCCGCTCTGCTTAGCTGCTTCTTCTATCAACGGACAATCCTTCTTCACCTCGGTCATTCCGCTTTCTTCATAGAACCGGACGAGTACAGGATCGTAGCCTTTCTTACCTGTGGAGACTTCCTGTAAACATGCACACGTGAAAGTGAGTTTTGTTTGGTATGAGGGCGGTTCTACAGTTCTTTCTTAAACACTTCTAGTCATTGTTGTAGGATAAAATTGGACATGTATCATTAATACATGTACATGTCTCTATAGATAGATCACATGCCTTTCAATTGCGCTCGTAACTAAATGGTTCTACGCAATTCTGATAGTCATAATGCATATCTCTTCAGCCTACCAAGCAGAATACCAAAATTCAAATACTAGCATGCATACCAGGGAAACAAAAAAAATTATATCATCTTCAACTTGTAGTTTAATATTATCAGCAGTTGTTTTTGAACCGAAGTGTTTGACAAGAAATTTAGTCATCTCAATCATATTCTTTAGATATAATGCTTTATGATTTTGTATCACGGAAGTTTTGAAGCGACTCACATTATCCTGTTGTCGGAGAAGCTTCAGTATTTCCTTTCTACCACGAGTGATTAGTTCTTCATCATCTTCGTTGCCCAGATAAGCTTTACTGGTGTACTCATCTGCAGCAATGTCCTCCGCCGTTCGACCATCCTAGGAATGAACATGCTGTCAATTATAGGCTCATAAATGTTGAAATATCGGAAATAAACACGACTGAATGAATAGACAATATGTATTAAGCATACAAAACATATAGTGAGTAGGTACCGCAGCAAAGCCCATGTCTAGAAAGACATTGGTTTGTAGGTGTTTATGTGATACGATGCAGGGATATCAGAACACATCGTGATTTGTGTGTTTATTCCAAAAACAGCTTCCTCATTGCCTCGGGCAGCAATGTATGTTAAGTGGATTATCAAGTCTTACCTTTGATTTTTGTCCCAAAAGAAGGAAAGACAATGTTGTATTTCTGGACTGGTGGTCAGTTATTTACCAGAGAAGCCGAAGAACCGACTGACCTTGTTCCTGAGACCGGCATCAGCCCCGTACTGCAGCAGTATTTTCGCACACTTGGGGCGGCCCCGTGTAGCTGCGTCATGGAGGGGTGTGTTTTCCTGTTGGGGCATTGACAGTGCAATTTTTCGTCCTTAGCATGATCAAATAGGAACCCCTTATAAATGAATGTATTTACAACGCTTAGTGACCCCAAGCTTGCTTAAAACCATTCCATAACTTTGCCTTTTCTACTGATTGTTTCTAATAATGTATAATAACGGTAACACTACAATATAAATCTTGTCCTGATGAAATGTATGCACAGTACATAATTTCATGTCTTAATCAGGTCATCGACCGCTGACCTTTTCTTGTCATATGATCGCGTAGTTACTACCGCATTTGTTGCGTTTCGCTGCTGTGTGATGCGTTGCACGAAAATAGCCCCAAATTGTACATATACAGGGCACCATATGCATGATAATGTTGAACATACATTATACATCATACACCAAATATGTATGATGTATTCCGAAAGTTGATAATATGCTGTATAGCCCAATGCGTTCCAATCCGTAGCAGCTTCATGTTGGCAACAAGTTGAATTGTAGACAGCAAATAAACCGCTAAGTAAGAAGATGAGAAGATGAATGTCAAATCTAACAAGATGATACAGAAATATTTCTTGTTTCACAGCGATCAGTCGACCTACCAACTCGAAGTTCCGTGCGTTCACATCTGCACCAGCTGTCAGTAAAACTAATACAGTTTCATGGTGGCCATTCCAGGCTGCCCAGTGCAGGGGAGAGTCTTGCTGTAAAATAGATCAGATGGTCTTCAGCATGACAACAGGTCGGACGAAAGTGCAGTTATTTTGTTGACAATTCTAACGTAATTCAGCAAGTAAACTGCTATACAGCTGACATTAAATGGTCTTTAGCACGACAACAGGACGGACAAATGTTCATGTCGGTGCAGGTCTAAAGGTAGTCAGCACATCAATCGTTATGTAAAAATGAATGTCAAATCTAACAAAATGGTACAGAAATATTTTTTGTATCGTAATAGTCCCGTGCGTTCACATCTGCACCAGCTGCTAGCAAAGCTGATGCAGTTTCATGATGACCATTCTGGGCTGCCTGATGCAGTGGAGTCCCTTGCTGTAAAACACATCATGGCGCACTATGAAAACTTACGTGTGCATAAGGTCGGCGGCCATCTTGCTCATTAAGTGCACACGTGACCAGGGTAACTCGACCCCAGGGCACCCTGAATTTTAAGTAGTTAGAGATGCGCAAAAGACCCTGGGAACGAGTCGTTGGTTGTACGCCTGCGCACTAGTTCGATTTGAAAAGGAGAGAATCCAAGCTTCCAGGAGCCGAAAACCGGAGCTTTTTACGGCGAATTTTTGGTAAGTTATGAGATTTTAGATTAATGACTTGCTCCCCCGGGGGTAAAAGATGATCTTAATGATGTATTGGAGTAATTAGGCTACTATTTGCGTACAGATTTTTTCTGGAATTAGCCGATTTTTGGGTGGTATCCTGACATGTCTGGGAGCCATTTTGAGATGTTTCCATTCAACGACGCGACCGTACTTTTTACGACACAAAGGATATGCATGGTTTTGTCAATAAAAATGTGTGCATTGTTCTCGTTCCCCTAGATTATATTGTATGGAATAATACAGAATATAGACCTAAAATACTAGGATGTTCTGGATTTGGTAAATAGTTCTGTTTAAACAGAATTTGAATGTGTACAGACTAAAATAAATGATGCAAAGCCTAGCAGCCCAGCCCCCCCCCCCCTCGAACTTAAATTTTAAATACCTAGAGAGACAATTTGACTCTGAACTGAACCAATTAAAACGCATGACAGCACCAAGAGTCCATGCAGCTATGTCTAGCTAGATATTAGACGTTAAACAAGGACAACAGCTTAGTCCTTAGTCCTGAATATGTAGTCTGTATTATTATTATTATTTTCAGAGAAAAATTGGATTGTATCAGTATGCATGTTTTATGTCGGGTAGTGTCCATAGTGACAATGTTAACATGTTTTTCACATCTTCACATGCACTTCAGGTGTCACAGATGGAGGAGCACAAAGAAAACCTCAAGACTGTATGCAGGGTTTGCGGTAACAAGCTGAAAGGATGGAATGCTAAAGTGCTGACATTTGCAGACGTGATCCGCCGATCATACAATGTGGATGTGAGTCAGGACTTACCAGATGTACATCCACAGTTCGTTTGTAACAAATGCCGTCTCAAGTTGCAAAGATTAAAACAGAAATCAAAGGCAGTGACAGGCATGGCCATCTTCCAGCCACACACAACAGATGGTAACTGCCACTGCAAAAGAAGAAGGGGCCACCCTACATCATCCAACATATCAGCTACGACATCCCAGCCACCTACTGCTGACGTCAGAGCTACGACATCCCAGCCACCTCCTGCTGACGTCAGAGCTACGACATCCCAGCCACCTTCTGCTGACGTCAGAGCTACGACATCCCAGCCACCTCTGCTGACGT